AAGACGTGTACACGATGCACAAGCAACTGGGTTTTGTTCACTACTTCGCGGCCTACAAAAATCAGCCAATCGCTTATCAGCATACATCCAATCCAGGTGACAAAACGATGACTATGACAAATCTACGCTTATTTATGTTACAGACGTGTTACGGGTGTAAACCTAATCTAACCTGATATATAGTTATCCCGTATCCGGGAGTAGTAGGGTATATTGTGTATAGTATATATCGATTCAATACATTTCAGTAGACTTATAAACGAAAATTTGGAGGGGGGGATAAACTTAAGTCCTCCAGGCCCCCTTCAAGAAAACAATAACGATTGAAAATGTAATTGTAAAATTTAGCCCATATATTTTACGAACATCGTCTTCAGAAAATTACTCAGAGTTCAATATTTTTATTGATATAAAAGTGCTAATTTTCCACGAACTGCATGCTTAAAATATGCGGTATCATAGTGATAGCACAGATAACAGTTTGCTATTATTTTTAAAATGAACAAAGAGTACGTAGGAATAGGTAATATGACCATTGTCGTCTGTCGACCGCCACGACACGGGACCTGTACAATCCCGATATCAGATTATAATATTATCAGCTATATGAATAATCTTAACGTTTTAAAATGTTAATCCTGCCCAACCCTATAACTCAGTGTTGTAGGCACTAGGCAGTACAACTAACAACAAAAAGTTATTGATAATCGTCTCGGTTGTATACTATATGTACGATGACAGATTATATAAACTATATAGAACCTATAGCAGTATCCCTACAACGATGACCCGCAATTCGTCGATATCGACCATAATAATACAGTTCATATAATTAATGTAGTGAATAATATGGTAAATTTTGTCTTCAATCTTCTATAATATACGCTTTGAATAAAACTCTTACATTTCAATTGGGGTCGATTGTCGATTGTATATTATATTATAGCCTAAGGTCTAGTATTCATAATAATAATATATTGTACAATAAAAAACCTGAAATGTGAATATCGTCTGGGCGGCACACAGCGTTCGTGTACGGCGTGATAAACGCACTGACGCTGTCCGTGCGTTATCAAGACTTCATCGGCAGGTACAACGACAGCGAGAGCAGTCGGAGCGTCTACCTGTTGCGGTTGGCCATGGAAAAGGTCGCCGTCCTGCCGTTCGCCTACGCCGCCCAGTGGCGAAACGACCGTGGTCTTTGAGAAGCGATTGCTTCTTGATTTTTCCAAGGGTAGGTGGGTGCCGTGGGTCGTGGGTGAAAATATGAAAGTGCATAACCATAACTAATTAATTAATAGTATTATTAAGCCCTAGAAGTATGTTACTAATCAGTAAATGTGTCAAAAGTTGTAAAAGTAATATTATACATAAGGAATTTATTTTATCATCATCGATTAATAATATAAAATACATTTAAGACATTTACAATATTTACATAAGCATAAGCAATAGTAAACGAGAGTACGAGACAATAGATGTAAACTACATCGGACGCATCTTTGATCATGTTACATAGCGTTATAAAACGTTAATGTTTTGCCCGTCATGGTATTTACAAATAACCACCAAGTTGGGATTTTCCTGTGGGCTGTGTTTATTTCTGTCGCGTCGCCCACCCGCCCGTTGACATTCCTATGCTCGAGTGACTGGTGTGATAATGACGATATTGTTATAAATTTATCATTATTGAAAATTCAATAAAACGTTAATAAGTAATAGCCTAATGCGGACATGCGGTTATTGCGATTTTCAGCTTAGTGTTTGACGTTTGTCGATGAGTTGATTATCTTATGCGTATGACGTATCTGTTTCGTATTTTATTGTGCACTGTAAATAGTCTGTAATAACTTAATTTTTACCTATTTGATATTACAAAATACAAATATTATAATATTGTGCTTCTAAACTATCACTATGAACTCTGAAATTTGTGAATGTGGGAAAAATCGTGACAAATTGAATAACACAAATTGGACAAGGCACATTATTTCATGTAAGAGTAAAAAGAGAAAAATTATGTCAAACAACAGTAATATTGCCAAGTTTTTTAAAATTACCACAAGTGTAAAAGGTAAGTTTGAATTATTTTATATACCTACTTATATAATATTTATTATTTATAATACATAATTTGAGACTTGATGTATAAATACCCTATTTATATTGTTAGTTAAGTTGCAATTGCCAAATCTAATATATTATAGTTAAAATGCTATTCGTTTTTTTGTATAATATATTTTTTTAATACATATAAAATTCATAGCTCACGTATCTGGTAATACTGGTAATATGTTATATTTTACCTGTATATAAATAAAATATGTTTTGTGTTTAGAATATAAAAATGTATGTACCTACATTTTCTTCAAAACTATCTTAAATTCTCACTTAAGCAACACATATTTTGATTTACAATCATATTACATTTTTTTTTTAAATTAACTTTTATGATAATTTGAGTTATTTTAATTTTAAGATCGAAACCCAACATGCAGTCAAAATGAAGCACTGAACTCTGAACTATTGTCTGAAAACAATTTGAGTACATGTACATCTTCTGATTATACTAAAGATACAGCCGATACAGGTACCTATTATTGTTAATATTGTTACCTCATTTCACCTTGTACGTTATTTTTACTATTTTAGTTGGAATGGATGAAGAAGGGTCCAATTCGTTATCAACCAGTTTGTCATTTAGCCAGAGTCCAATCCTTACTTTGAAGTCACCCATCAAATTAACAATAGGTAATAGTTTTAAATTTCACCATTTAGTAATTTTTCAAAAGTATTAACAGTTTTTTGTTCTTTGTAATTAAATACATAAAAAAAATAATTATTTACTATAAAAACTAAGGAAGTATTATTTTTTAAGCGATTATTAAATAATTTTTTGTATTTGTAGATGAAAACCCAACATGCAGTCAAAATGATGCCCTAAACTCTGAACTATTATCTGAAAACAATTTGAGTACATGTACAACTTCTGATTATACTAAAGATACAGCCGATACAGGTACCTATTATTGTTAAAAAAAATATTAATGTTTTAAATGATAATTTTTTCAAAAGAAGTTTCTGATATAAGTCCACGTGTTTATTACAAGTCCATTACTATCCAAATTTATTTATCATTTTATAATGAGTCCAAAAATGTAATGTTAAATTAAAGTTAGAAGAGTTTAAAAAATTTGAAACTTTAATTTGCTTCCCTGATCAATTTTAACTTTGTGACTTACAAGTTACAACAAATGTGCACTAATAAATTACTTTATTTTTATATGTTATATAGAGTCATTTGAAACAACAATATCAAACGATATCAACTGTCGAATATCAACTGAATCGACAAACTTGACAGGTACGTGGAATATGAAAATGTTATACTTAAATAGTATAAATTATACCAATTTATATAGATAACTACATAATTGTGGCCTTGTGGGGGAACATGGAGCTATAAAATAGTAATAATTTATTTTATTCCAACTGACAAGAATTAACATTTTATAACATTACAATCATAACAATAAAATATAAGTTGGTGGCAGTGAATTAGACTGACAGTGATAAATCATAATTTCTTTTTAGAATACCAAGTTATGGATAGTGTGTTCCCAAATGATCCTGTTCATTGGCCAGAAACCATGTCAAATGAAATATTAACATACTTTGTGAATCTCGGACCTTGTCAGCCATTGCCTTCTGATCTAAAATACAACACAATAGTAAAAAATTGCCCGAAGATGCTTTTGACCAATTAGCAAAATGGATACATGGTATAAATTTACAAGATTTAAGAGTAGAGTATTTAGCTTTCAGTAGTAGTTTACATGAATTGGTCGTAGGACTTGAACCAAAACAACTACATGAGAATGTCAAGTGTATACAATGTTCTGAAGATAGTGATTCCAGTATCACTAGTTATGAAGATGACAGACAAGTAGTTGAAAAAAAAGTTAGTGTAGAAAGAATTCTTCATATTTTGTCAAGTTACAACTTGATATCAGCTTTTCCCAATTTGTACAAAGCTTATAAGTCACTTGGTACAATACCTGCTTCTTCTGCTTCAGCTGAACGTAGCTTTTCAAAGGTAATACTAATTTATTAGTGTATAAATATAAATTATATAAATATAATTATTGTATAATATAATATAATATTATATTATATTATATTATAATTACATAAATTCTGTATTGTGCATACAATATGTGTACATTTATGTAGACATGCATTTTGTAATAGTATAAGTTAACAACAATTAACAAATACAATATTTTTAGAACTATAAACATTTTGTTTTAGGTAAAATTGATTAAAACTCGCCTACGTTCCACAACTGGACAAGACCGACTTGAAAGCTTATTGATTTTGAGCATGGAAAAGGATATTGAAATCAATTACAATGAAGCCATAGATACGTTTGCCATGACTTCAGATGTTTTAAAAAAACAGTTGATATTTAAATAATTAATTTCATATTTTTAAATTTGTTTTAAATTAATATAATACATTATATACATTATCTAGATTGCTGTAAAATATGTTAATTATAATTACATTATAAGAATAAAGGAATTGTCTCTCATCTCCTAGAATGCAATTATTTTATAATAATAGGTACCTACATTTTATTATTATGTTTTATTTTCTTCAGTTTCTTCAAAAACAAAAAAATGATATTACAATACCTACCTAATTATAATATGAACCTACTATTATACAGTATAATATACTATTTATTATAATATAAGTAACCTACCTAAATTTATTGGTAAAAATATATATTAATATAATAATATATATATATACATTAATTGAACAAAAAAATATTTTAAATATATAATAGGTACCTATTATAGCCGGTAATTGGGTGGGTGGGTTGGTGTGTAAATTGTAAGTTTGCTTATGGGTTATTTTAGGTTCGTTTCGCCACTGACGCCGCCGACGTCTGGCACTCGGAAGCGTGCACGAGCTCTTTCGCGCCTAAACGCATGAACGATCACTGGTGGAGCAAAAGGTACGTACACAGTGGCGTGCCCAGGAATTTTCAATGGCAGGGCGAGTAAAATAAGTGTATAGTAGTATATATAGTCACCAAGGTGATGCAGTTTAGTCACAGATTTGCAATTACTTGCGTTAATAATGATCATGATTCATAGCTATTGATTCGGTCCGATAATATATAGGTAAGCACGCCCAGTTGAATCCTAATCGAATCCGATAATACAGCTATGATGGGTATATATATTAGTTGATATTGGATATTCCTGGCTCCTGCTGTAGCATAGGCGTGCGCAGACTCCAGTTTCAGGGGCAGCAAGAGATTAATTCGGCTCATTTTCCAAATTCACCGTTGAACCACGCTTAGTTTTACTTTTTTTACAATAGGCTATAAAATTAAAATTGTAATGGTTTTTGGGTTTTTTGATCATAAATGGTAAAAATAATATTTACAATTAAAAATCATGTTACATTTTTTTATAGTAGACAGATCGATTTGTTTTATACTGGTAAATTCTAAAATCATAAAATATTTATCTATATAGTTTACTTTTACCCAAAAAAATAAAAAAATTTATATAGTTGTTTTATCTACAATAATCATAATTTGTGGAAGTATAATTTTACCAAGGCCCATTATTCAATTATTGCCGGCCATCCCTAAAAAAATTTCAGGGGCAGTATATTGTGTATATACTGGCAGTCTTAAATATTTGTTAAGGGAGGAAAATTTTAATGTTTTTTTGGTCTATTATAAGTATTAAGTAACGATACATTTTTGCAATTTGCAGTGGTGATAGAATCAAAGACACACATAGTATTGTTTTGGGGATGGGGGGGGGGAGAATTTTAATATGAGGTTTATAATTGTATATTATATGCTTGAAGACTTAAAGGAAATTTAATAATAAATCTTAATACAGGCAATTAATGGTCTAGTAAACAATGTAATTAACTATTAAGATCAAAAAAAAAATATATATGTAGTTAGATGTTTATATTTTTAGCGTATACTTCATACTATATTATATTGCGTTTTCCCCGCAGCGTCAGACAGTGTATAGACGTAGACGCCGACCATGTTCCGGACCTGTGTTAGACGCTGTAGGAAAAATGTATTGACACAGCTTACATTGTTTTATTATTGTGTTCTTTTCCATTCTGAAATTTTAAATTTTATATTTACATCGTTGTCTTTAATCTAGTGTTTGTTAGTGAAACGAATATCGACCTTTAAAGGGCTATATTTTTAAAATTCTACCTACCATTTTTTATTTCATATGATCTGAAACAGAACACATTTTTTTTTTCCTTGATGAATATCGAGTGTGTATAGATACATAATTATTTTTTTTTATTAATAAGCGCCAAAGTACTTATAAAAGCTATAGTTCACCACAACTTTAGCGGAGTAGGTACCTTCTGACTTTTCGCTAATATAATTATTAACTAATAATTATGCTAATAAATATAAAAAAACTATTGCTTCAATATTTATATCCATAATATTAAAAGAATCACCTGGCATCTGGCAGGACAATACTTAGGTTAGGACAATGGTTAGGTATATACATATAAATATATATTATGTATTATAATTATTTATAATGTAATTTGATTTTAGACATAATATTTGTTACTAAGTTTAGTATACGTGAAGTCAATAATTTGAAAAAGCCATTTCCACCGGCCTTGTCAGTTTTCATGATCACATCTGTTCGATTTGTTGCACCTACGGGGCATTTAACCTACTACACTAAGTTTATGTAAACTTCAAAATTTTTTTACAAAAATATTAATTTGTTGTTGTGATTGCTCTATTTTTTGATTTAAAGCAAGTGGCAACTTATTTTTATTTCATATCCCAAAGTAGAAGAATACTATTTTAAAAACGTCGAGTTTAAGTATCAAATATTCTCCATTAATATATTCTTGATGAATATTACATTTTATTTTACCACGGCCGTATAATATTATGGGCGCTCTTCGGAACTTTGCTCATCTTATCTGAACTATAATTATTATTAAATATACATATCAATAAATGTAATAACTATTTAGTTCTCTATTCGATATTTATTCAAAACATTATTGGGTATATGCTAGTAATCTATAAAAGTATTAATAGCGATTCTTCAAAAGTACGATGGTGGATTAAACTAAAAATTTTAGATTCTGGGTGGAACGATGAATGTATTGATTTTACAATGATGTGTTTTTTTTTTGTGTCTGTGTACGATAAGTAGTCGAAATAATACTTCGATTTTCAACTTCAGTATCTTGTTCGATGGGAAAGTGAATATTATTAGTGCGTTGGGGAGGTCAAAATTTAAAATTCCCAATAGTTTTCAAAAGCGCCGGGAAAAACAACATAAAAATTAAGGAAAAACAGGAATTTTTACTCAAAATCGATTTTCCACAAAATCGATTTTGATTTTTGGTGTAACTCTAAAACAAATGAAGATTTATACATGAAATTTTCACTGGTTGTTTATATTTCCATTTCCTATGCACGATAAAGTTTTCAAAATATTTTGATTTTTTTTTTTTATTGAACTTTAAAGCCCGGCGACTATGGCCATTAAGACGATTGTGGGGTTTTATGATTGTAGGTAGTAGGATTTGTAATGGTAGGGTTTCTACACGTGTGTGTTGTGTTTGGCAGAATTTTTGATTGGGTACCCCTAGGTATCTGCCAGGCCCTGGTGGAGGATGGCGGCACTTGTTCTCCGGACACCGTGACTTGTCCAAAGAAAAATGCCACCCGTGGCCAAGGAATCGAGCTCGGGTCACCTGCGTCGCCTGAGCGTCCGCTCGGCCACTCCGTCCCCCTATTTTGATTTGTTTTGAACTGTTTAGGAACATATTTTTCAGTTTCTAATTTTATTAGTCTTTTTTTTCTATGAATGTCAATAAAACTTTATTTGTTGAGTGAAAAAGCTTGAAAATTTAATACAAGGCTCCTACTTTATATTGTTACAATAACATTTTAAAAATATTAAAAATCCTTATTCACAATTTTTTTTTTTAAAAATTTGAATATTTAAAGTTCAAATCTTTACAAAACACTGAAAAATCATTTTGAGTTGAGAATTCATAAAAATTTTTCTTTTTAAATCTAAAATTTGAAAATGTAATACAAGATTATTAATGAGTTTATCTACCTTTATCAAAAAAAAAAAAAACATCTACAAGTAAATCAAATTAAATTTTTATGAGCCTCCGAAGTTCATATTTTTACAAGATTGGATATTCACTCGATTTCTCATATAGTGGTTTCGTTATTTCATTGTTATGCAAAAACGAATAACTGTAGATACATGAACATTTTACTGAATATTTATATTTTCATTTTGTATTCACCGTCAAATTTTGAAAATAATTTGACTCTTTTTAAGTTGTTTACGGACATTGTCAGTTATCATTTTTTTTAGTTTTTTTTTTCTATAAATAACAATACAATTTTATTTGTTGGGTAAAAAGCGTGAAAATGTAATGCAAGGCTAATGATATATTGTTACAATAGCAGTTAAGGGGATTGGAAGCGGCGATTTTCTGTCTTTGTCTAACACACGTGCAACATAGGATTATAGACGTGTTCTATTTCCAACGTACCGATTAATCTAGTGAAGCGATAAGAATTCTGAAAACAGATTTGAATTTGTCGTCAAGTCTACTTGAGATCGACTTTCCCACATTTTTGATATTTTGATTAAAACTTCTCCAAAAATGTAAATATGGCAATTTTTAATTACTCTTTTTAATATATAATTTTTAAGATTTTTGGGGGATAATATCAAAAATGTGGGAAAGTCGATCTCAAGTAGACTTGACGACAAATTCAAATCTGTTTTCAGAATTCTTATCGCTTCACTAGATTAATCGGTACGTTGGAAATAGAACACGTCTATAATCCTATGTTGCACGTGTGTTAGACAAAAACAGAAAATCGCAGCTTCCAATCCCCTTAAAAAATATTAAAAATACATAGGCACAATTTTTTTTTAAAGCATTTAAAGATCGAATTTTGACAAAATTTAACAAATTTAAAATTTAATAATTATTTTGTAGTTAAAAATTTATAAAATGTTTAACTTTTATAGCCAAGGATTGAAAATTTAAAACAAGATTCCACGTAAATAGGTTATATATAAATTACTTTATTCACAATAAGATCATCAAATATACTTAGTAATATCATAGGGTGACTGACCGTTTTCGCTCGGAATCGTTTTTCTTATACATTGGTACTATATCATTGAATTAAAATTTAACACTATACGTTACAGTTACCCACTTGTAACCTACTGTACAGCAGAATGACATCCACTTACCCACCTTTTTTTTTTTTTAACACGTAGTGGTATTTTGAAACATTTTTTTTTTATTCAAAATAATGTGACATAAAATTAGTGTAGCGGTTAACTGATCTGATTATACCCATTACCACAGGCTCAAATACGAAGGCGTTGTGTCGCCTATTTCCAAAGACATGGACAAGTGTATGAATCCCAATTACAAACCGTTTGATCCGAGTGCGGCGTACGCTGAGGTGATAGAGCTACCGCACATCAAGTATATACTATATTGTTATTTATTACTATTGTTATGTAAATTACAGTGTTATTAATTGCTACGATCATTAAACGATGACGACGTCGACGTGATAATTATTTTGTTATTAATAGGTACTATATAATAGTATATATTATTATATTAAGTAGTATGTGACGCGATTATGTGATACCTATACTATACTATTATTATAATATACATTATTATTTGCAATGTGAATGATTGTGTTTTAAACAACCAGAGACTTCCTGGGACCGATAATAGAATTCCAAATATTCAAAGCGTTGTGCAAAATTTGCGGCGAGTACAAATCTAAACACGCAAAAACCAAACACTTGTACGAGTGCAACCTACGTGGCTATAAAAAAGTCGGAAAAATTATCAAGTATGTATTATAAAATTATCGAAATTGAGTAAACAATGTACTTCGTACGTACAACTTCGTAAAATAGGATTTTTTAAAATTTTTTTGTTGTTGTTTGGCTTAGATCAGTCATGGCAAGTGGCTCTTCGACGGAATGGAAATTTCTTTTCGAGACAATAGTTGGACACCGACGAGTAGAAATAGATCCTTTGTTGGAATATTTTCAACCTCTTCACAATCATCTTTTAAAAACCAATCAGGAGACCAATGAACACATTGGATGGAAGTAGATTTTACAAAATCAAATTAATTAATAAAATATGTTTTAGGTAGGTGTCATCAGAAATAAAAGCGCATTTTATATAATATATAAAGCAGGGTTTCAAACCGGTTAAAACTGCAGTATACTATGTCAACCGATTTTATAGGAATTTATTAGTTTATAAAACGAAAACTAAATATTTAATCAGAATTATTTTTTGTTCGATTTGAATTATGACATTTTAATAAATGTTGATACCTACGTGGTCACTCTGTTTCTGATTTGTTAAATTATTAAAGTAACGGCGTTATATTTTAGATGAAGTCATAAGTTATTAATATATATTTAAACAATAAGCATTAAATATTGAAGTTGACCACATTTTTTAAAAAGAAAAATTTATAAAATAATGAAAATCATATTATTAAAAAAAAAACATCTCGGTTCGAAACCCTGACCTATAAAATATTATATTCATTAAAACAAAAACTTAAAAGTATATCCATTAATATTGTTAGGGGCCTAGATGCATTGCAGAGAAAGAAATAAAATATGAAACAGTGACAAAATGGTTTATACAATACAATATTTCCGTACCTCTCTGTCAGACGAATGACTGCTTGCTCTGCTGTTTTGGCGGTATTCACACGGTGAATACAGATCATAATAACAGTGTTGACATTAACTACAATAACTTTATGTACTTGGAACACAAAATATGACAAAAGTCACAACAATGTTATTGTAATATGCTTTTACTGTAAAACATTGCGAGTTATTGCAATAATTTCTCAAACTCGCATGATTCCGTTATAACATGTAGCGTATTACTATCTGACATTTAAAATCATTTCCAAATACCAAAGCAATAGTCCTATATAATATTTACACAATGGGTACCTACTACCAAGTACCTACTATATCAATTAAAATATTAAATCGTTATTCATTACTTTATTTTACGATGCGACTTTTTTTTTAAATTTAACTATTAAAACGTTTTATATTGTTGACGTTTGTCAACTATACAATTAGAGGAGAGAGATTTCCTGTATATCTATATAAAATTGCATGGAATATTGATTTGTTATTTTTCAAACTAAATAAATACACTGTATGTATATCCTGTATACAATATGATGTATAAAATATAATAGAAAACATCAATAAGTGCAGTAGTAAAAGATAAGTTTTAAAATTATTTCCAATACCATTTTGTCCTTGCCTCCTCTGGGAATAATTTATTTAAAGCCATTTCCAAATGGTTTCATTGTTTTAAATGCAAAACCCCATTATTGCTTATTTTTAATCAATGACAATGCCGTTTCTTTAAAAAATCTCATTTTTTCTTGGAACCATTATTTAACGTGAAATATAATATTAATATACATTTAATTTGTTTTTGCATAGTAAATTCTTATTAAAATATAACTAATATTTTTGAAAATCGTTGCTGTATTATTAATAGCCTCATTAATCTAACTTTAAATATTTAAAAAAAATGTATAATAATTGTGATATTAAATCACTGTAATACTTTATTTATTGCAATAAAAGTTTTTGGGAGTTAAGAACAATACTAAAAAGGTGGACCTTCTACGTCTTGTATCTTGCCCCTAATAGTTGTTATATATTTTTGTATTTATCACTTTTACTTACTGTGTAAATAGCACTTATTTGAAATAGAAAAAAAAAGTAATTTAAAAATATCATCTGTTTTCGCGTTGCTCAAACAGTTTAAGATGGCCAATTTGTGTATGGGGATGCCAACTACCCCTCTGTAAAACGAAGTCGATTCGGAATTTCGACGTCGAGTATAATATGTTACCTACCTATTTGTTATAGCGTATCTAGTATATCGCCCGCACTGTTATATGAATTAAGTTTTAAAGTTCAAACAAGATTGCTGCTGCAGAGATTGACGTGCACACGACGTATATTTAATAATAATATTACCTATACGCAACGTCTATTATTATAATATTTTGTAGTCAGCAGGGTGCAGGCTTTCGAGGTCAAACTCTGCGGTGCTCCCTTATAATAATATACTCACCATCGTCACTGCAGGTACGCGGGATGATTGAAAAGGATTGAAAATGGACGAAATTTCTGCAGCAGGACTATATATAGGTACGACACGTCTACCGGTCTCGCGTGGGCGTCAATAAATAAATTATGAACACTCCATATATTCGAAGGTTCACCCAACTACCCAAGTTAGCTACCGTAATACAGTGTCGTATCATTATAACATGTATATTATTATGATATAAATAAATAATAATATTATTATACTCCTCGGCGCTGCGACGGTATGGGTAACTTTAGGGACGTTATTATTATACGGAGGACAAGACTATACGAGATTGGGTCGTTTTTTCCAAAAGTCATGCTGAAAAGTCGTCTCCGGCGCGTGTTTGTTCTACATATTATTACTATTATCGCAACAAACTGTACACAGCAGAATAGTAATAATAACATAATATAATATAAGAACCAGACGGACGTTCGGCGCATATACTACCGGCTGTAGTGCATATATGTTTGAAAAGTAACGGTTCGATGTAATAATATAACTATATACTACTGCAACTACTTACCCATATAGTTATAGTACTTGTGCGCTGTATTCTCTGTTGAGATGTCTGTACGACGACGTAACATAATAATAACGTGTGCACATGCTATAGCGGTAATAACGTCGGCGGAAACTTACGATTTTGCCTTTCTATTGGTTTTTCCGGTCACAATACACACGTAGATCGGTATAGCTGGTATAGTGCGTATGTACTTCCAGACCTCCTATATATAGCCAGTGTAAATATTATATGTAATGGCCTGTATATATACGTTAGTCTGCGACGGGTACACAATATAATATTGTATTATATAGGTATTATATAGGTATATGTGAGTGTATGTATGTATGTATGTATGTATGTATGTATGTATGTATGTATGTATGTATGTATGTATGTATGTATGTATGTATATATGTATGTATGTATGTATGTATGTATGTATGATATTGACTAGACGATCGACGTCATCCATCAATATAATATTGTTGGGTGTGTATCGTCTACATATATAATAATATTGTACACGTATGTGTGTATCCGTAAATTGAACATCTTAGACGAATATTATATAATAACGGTTTTTAGTAGGTGTATTCAAAATCTTAAAATAATATGGAAGTAAAAAATATATTTTTAAGCCAAGTTCAAAAGTATACATAGTATTGACATACACACAGATTTGTTAAACAAGTATTTTAATTGTAATGAAGATGAATTGGTAGTTGAAAAAAGTTGTCACAAAAACATGAAGCGATAACAAAATAAATTGAAGTCAACTTGGGCGCTGAAATGCTTCACATTTGGCTTCAGTTGTTAAACGATTTTAATAAATAAGGCAAGAAACGGAATAGCACGGATTGCCTAAGCCACACACTATACGGAAAATATTGGTGGTAACCTCTCGTTGTACCTGACGGCAGGGACCAGGCAAACTGAAACCTCGTGGCTGATACTCGATGCGCCACCAGTAGTTCCTTGAGGTACGGTTATCCAACCTGTAGCCCCAAACTTCAAACTGCCAGAAGACTAACGCCCGAACCGCAGACCAAGTTCTGGGCAGTGGGCTAGGGTTGCCATTTATACAAAAATACAAGTCGGGACACTATAATACCCCCCCCCCCCCCACAACACACTCTTTGGAATTTTTAATAAAACTTTTTTTAGTCCAACGTTATTTAATATTTTTATTATATTATAATTTATAATAAATAAGAAAGTCAAAAATTAGAAATAGCACAAAATGTAATAATAGTATTATTATTATCTTATTCATAAATATAATTTTAAATTATCTAAAAAAATTAATTAGGTACACAATTTTTAATTTAAAACAGAGTGGTCTTACTTATTTACTAATATGTGTATTGTTTAAATATGCATCATTATTCATCATCGATTTCATCTAACTTCATTTTTCGAATTTTTTCATGTTTGAGATCCAGAAGCTTCCGTTTCTGATTTTTGATTTGTTGTTGAATATTTTGCAGTTTTATGAACTCGAATGAGCAAATCTTTATTTTTCGAAATGTCTTCATAAAATTGTTGGCATGGTTTATTTTCCAAATTAGTCTTAATGACTAAAGTAGCTTCTACTGTATTGATGCATAAATTACCTCGTGACTTTGTCCAACAACTGTTCATCAATGAAAATATTCTCTCCACTGCAGCGTTAGATCCAGGCAATGCAAATGCAAATTCTACAATTTTTAATAACATAGAATAATCAATATTATTCTCTTTAAATGATTTAAAAATTGACAGCCATTTTTCTTCAGATGTTTTGCATTGCCATTCATCGGTTTTATTTCTTAAAAATTGTTCAAACATTTTAAATTGTTCATACAGTTCTTCCTCGTTTAAAGTAATATTAAAATTTAATTTTAGAAAAGAAATAGATGGCTTTATGTTGGACCAATTTATTTCATCTTTGTTTGACAAACAAACCCATGTTAATGAATTTAATTCTGGTATATGTTGGTTTGAAGCAGTCCAATCTGTTATATAATTTATGTATAAGTCATAAAATTTAGTACACGTTTCTTTAAACTCTAATTTAATTATTTCACCACTTTCTTCTAGATGAACAAGTAATGCTTCAATATCACTTGGTAAAAAAAAATCATCTTTTTTATTTTTTAATTTTGTAGTTAATTTTTCCATAATTAGTATAAGTTCCACCGCGCAAAGCTTTTGATTTTCAATTATTTTAATGTATATATTTATAGTTTTCAATTGACTTTGTAAGAAGTTAAGCCACAAAATAGTAGTTTCATTTTTAAAAAATGTTTTCAAAATGTTTGGACAGTTATTTTGGGATAAAAAATACGATTTAAGTGCACTAAACATTTCTATTATTCTTTCAATTGCCGGATATAACGATAACCATCTTGTTTTGGAGTGTGATAATATTTCTTTATACTGAACATCAACAAACGAACAGAATTCT